AAATGCCAAGCAGGCTCCCTGCCATCCGCCGTCCGCAAACACGGCTCTTATCTTGGCGATAAGAGGGGGGGACAAGTTCCAGGCCTCGCCACCCGAAAGGCCATTTTTGGCTAAAACCCTGGACCTCCAGCAGCCGATAAGATCAGCGAAAGCAGCTCATGTCGTCCGCCCGAAGATTTGGGACCCCAGAAAAAAAAAAATGGGGTGCTTTTTCTCCCCAGCCAATTCGGGGAGGTTCCCCCCAAAATGCGCAAGACAGCCTCTGCAGAAAGAAGTTGCAATAATCTCATTTTTTTAAAAAAAATATCAAGAGCTTTTCTGCCCAAAGCAGAAAAGGAGGTTTTGGAGCCAGAAAAAAAGGGGTCTTTTTCTCCCCATCCGATTCGGGGGGAGGCCCCCCCCCCCCCCCAAAAAAATGCAGCCTCTGGAGAAAGCAGAGAGAAGTTGCAATAATCTCATATTTTTAAAATATGTATATCTCACGAGCTGGTGGAAGACGCCAGCCAGCCAGATAACCTTAAGAGCCTCTGGAAAACAGGCGCTATTTTTATAGCCTCTGGAACGTGGGACTTGTAAAAATCTTTAATTTTGCAAACTTTGTTCTACTTTTAGCAACCGGTCCCTTTTATTTTTGGGAAAAGAAAAAGTTCTTTTAAGGCTAAGAGACTGCAGAAGACCAACCACAGATAAGTGGAAAGAATTAAACTACAGGTAGTCCTCGAATTACAACTGTTCATTTAGTGACCACTTGAAGTGACAACAGCATTGAGAAAAGTGACTTAGGTCCAGTTTTTCACACTTACGACCATTGGCAATGTGATCAAACTTCGGACGCTCGGCAACGGACTCCTATTTACGACTGTCGCAGCGTCTCAGGGAAGCAAACCAAGTCAATGGGGAAGGCGGATTCACTTAACGACCGTGTAATAAAAGTGCTAAAAAATGGTTGTCACTTTTCCAGTGCCCTTGTAACTTTGAGCGGTCGCTAAACGAACCGTTGTAAGCCGAGAACTGCCTGCATTTTCTTTCTGGACTGATAATACAATACAATACAGTATTGTATTGTAATGCAATATAATATAAAAAATATAATATAATAAAACTAATATAATATATTGTAATGCAATGCAATATAATATATAGTATAGTAGAATTAATATAATATATAAATATAATGTAATGCAATGCAATGCAAAATAATAGTATAGTATAATAAATATAATAATACAATATAAAGCAATGCAATATAATGCAATATACTATAATAAATACAATAGGATATATAATCCAGTGGCTGCTTTGGGACTCTGATCTCCATTCCTGAGGCCCTAATGGGCGTCTTTTTCGCAACTCTCCCACCCGAGACCCTCCCCATTACCTGACGAAGTACATCAGCCCGCCCAGAGTGACCGCCTTGGGGGCGAAGGACCAAGGGGGCAGAGGCCCACAGTTCACCAGCGTCCAGAGGTCCGACTCGGGGTCGTAGCACTGCATGACCATGGACTCCTTGCCGGCCAGGGAGCCGGTGGCGTAGAGCTTCCCGCGGGAGGTGATGGTGGAGCAGTCGTCCATGGGGTAGGGCATGGGCTGCAGGACCTCCCAGCTGTCCAGCGTGTGGTCGTAACGCTCGGTGCTGTCGGCCGCCACGATGTAGAGCAGGCCATCCAAGACGGCCGAGCTGTGGTACTCACGGGCTTTCAGCATGGGGGACACCTCCGTCCACTCGTTCACGCTGGAGTTGTAGCGCCAGACGCAGTCGTAGAGGCGCGAGCCGTCGGAGCCGCCTGCGGAGGAGAGCGGTCAGAGAGCGGGTGCAGAGAGCTTTGGGCTAGTGGAAAAGGCTTAGAAACCAGGAGAGGGTGAGTTCTAGTCCCAGGTTACGAATGCAAGATGGCTGGTAGACGGGGAGTTCTAGTCCCACTTTAGGTAGCTTTCCTGCCTACGATGGGACTAGAACTCCCTGTCTCCCAGTAACTGGGCCAAAGTCACCTCCCGGGCTTTCTTGCCTATTACCAAACTATAACTCACTGACTCCTAATGATGGGTTCAAGGTCACCCAGCCGGCTTTCCTGCCTGAGGTGGGACTAGAACTCCCTGTCTCCCAGTGACCGGCCAAAATCACCCAGCCGGCTTTCCCGCCTATTACCGAACTATAACTCCCACTTTCAAAACCCCAGCAGGGCATCGCTACCCCCCCCTCCAAGTGCCTCCCCAGCGCAGGCCCGATCCTAACAGTTTGACTTCCCGCCAAGGGGTCCCGGGTGCAAGAAGGGGGCTGCGGGGGTGTGTGTGTGTGTGTGCCTCCTCACCGGTGACGTAGACATCGTTGCCCAGGGCAACAGCGCTGTACCCTCCTCCCAGGTGGTCGGGGAACTCGGCCAGGTAGCGCCAGTGTCCCGTGCGCGGGTTGAAGCCATCCACGGTCACCAGCTCGTCGCAATCCCGGTCGCAGCCGCCCAGCACCACCAGCAGCTCGGCCAGCCCCGTGGAGGGGCGCGGGCGGAGCCGGGCGCAGGGCGATCGCTCGTGGCGATCCAAGCGGCCCGCCTGGAAGAGCCGGGCCTCGGCCACCAGGCGCAGGCAAGCCGAGGAGCGGGCCACCAGCGGCTCGCCCTCCACCTGCGCCAGCAGGGCGAAGCGCCGCACGAAGGGCAGCCGCACGTGGGCCAGGAGCTGGGGCAGGAGCCCCGCGCGCGATCCGGGCTCGGCGCGCACCCAGCGCAGGGCCAGGGCGAAGGCGGCCTCCTCCTTGGGCACGCGCAGCGCGTCCTCGCGCAGGTAGGAGACCAGCCGGGCCAGGGGGACGCGCTCCAGCTGGGCGCCCAGCTCGCCCTCCGGGTCGGCGGCGTGGCGCAGGACGCAGCGGCGGGCGGCTTCGGCCAGCGGGGCGCAGGCGAAGGTCTCGCCGAAGTCCTGCAGGTCCAGCGCGGCGGCGGGCTCCAGGCGGGCGGCCAGCCAGGCTCCGCAGGCGGCTTTGACGGCCGGGAACTGGAGCAGGTCGGCGGCGCGCAAGAGGCGCTCGGCCAGCTGCGGCTGCTGCGCCGGCGGCGGCTGCTGCTCCTCCCCGGCCGGGCTCAGGGCGCCCAGCCGGCCCGTGTAGGCGAAGTCCAGCAGCAGCGCCAGGCAGTCGGGCTCCACGCCGTGCAGCCTCACCCGGGACGCCCGGGCTTCGCGCAAGCCGCCGGCGAACATGGCGCGGAAGTAGCCCGAGGCGGCGGCCAGCACCGCCCGGTGCGCCCCGAACTCCTCGCCCGTGCCGGCCAGGAGGGTGACGTCCAGCAGCGCCCGCTCCGAGCGCAGCGCTGCCAGGCCGCGCAGGAGAGCCGAGGCGTGCGCCGCTTCCGCCTCCATGCCTGGAAGGGCCGGACTGAGAGACGCGGGCTGGAGGGGATCGCGCGGGGCTCCGCCCGGGCAAGGCGCCCGCCTCCTGGGCGGACCTCGGAGGGCGGGCAGTGGGGAGGGGGCGGCTGCCCTGCCGGGGTCTCCGGTCTCCAGCGCTGCTGCTTCCTTCTTCTAAAGAACGACAGAGTTGGGCCGGGACCCTGGAGGTCTTCTAGTCCAGCCCCCTGCTCGAGCAGGAGATCCTACCTACCGCCTTCTGTTCGAAACGGCTGTCTAGTGGTCTCTTGCAAAGGGGGGGGGGGGGCTTGCAGGGATTGGAGTCCAGTTATTATTTATTGTTATTGTTGCTAGTGTTGAAAAAACGGCCCAACATCCCTTTTCCCCCGGAAGTTTGAACAGTCAGTAGGCGAATGGTTGGAAGTCAGCTTCTTCTGCATTAATTCAATTTTGTTTTTTTGTTTTTTTCTAGTTTTGTTTGGTTTTCTGCTGTCTGTTTTACTTTTTGGGATAAAACAATAAAGAATAAGGAGGAGGAGAAGGAGGAGGAGAAGAAGATGAGGAAGAGGAGGAGGAGGAGGAAAAGAAGAGGAGGAGGAGAAGAGAAGGAGAACAGGAAGAGGAGGAGGAGAAGAAGAGGAGGAGAAGACGAGGAGGAAGAGGAGGAGGAAAAAAAGAAGAAAAAAAGAAAGGGAAACAAGAGGAAGAAGACTGTCAGTCATCCCTGTCCCTTGAAGGGGATCTGGGGACCCCCGGCAAGATGGGGGCGTCCGGGTTCAAGGACGGGAGTGGGGCTGTTCCTTTGGGTGCCCCCTGACATTTCTGAATTCGGAAGCTGCCTCTGGGCTCTCCTTTCCCTGCCTCACCTGTTTGTGTCCTTCCAAAGTTGTTTACACACCGAAGCCAGAACGGAAATTTTATACAGGTTGTCCACGCCTTACAAACAGCTACATTTAGTGACCGTTGGGAGGTTACAACTGCACTGGGAAAAAAAGTCACTTAGGGCCGTTATTTCCACTTAACGACCGTTTGCGGCATCCCTGTGGATCACATGGTCGAGATTCAGAGGCTTGGCAACTGGCATGAACTTATGACGGTTCCAGCATCCCAGAAGGTCACGTGATTTCTCCCTTCGGTGGCCTTCTGGATGGGCAGAGCCAAGGGGGAAGGCCAGATTTGCTGAACCACCGTCGTGCCACTTAACGACGGCGGGGATTGGCTGAACAAGAAGAGAAGGACAAAAAGCGGATGTTTTGCACCCCGGATTTGCGGAGATTGTAAATCTTGTCACCCCAAAGAAATAGTGGATGGACTCAGGTTCTTTTTCTGTGTTTCTCATGTCACCCACCCCCACCATGCCCCTCCCACTTTACACACACACACACACACACACACACACAAGCAGAAATGAAAGCAATACAAAAGGTGCCAATCCCTTTCTCCCCCCTCTCCTTTTTTTGGGGAAAATCCGCTCTTTCTCCAAGCTATGGCCCATCATCTCTCTTTTCTTTGGCTACTGAGCACCGGGGCTTGAAATGCAAATGAGACCCCTTTCATTTTAAGAGGAGGGGGCCCGAGGAGGCAAGTTTCTAGTCCTCATGGGGGAAGGGAGGAGCACTCGCCCCCCCCCATCGCTAACCCTCGGCTTCGGGTGGAGGATCTAGAAAAAGAGCTGGCCAAGGGGGGAAAAAAATAATCAAATCAAATTAAAAAAAAATGCTCCTTCCATTTTAGCAAAGGGGAAGAAAAATAATATCAAAAGTGGCTGGTAAAGACCAGGGAGAGGCTTCGGACTACGTTCTCCGGCATGCCCTGCGCGTGGACCACGGTGGGCATGCGTCGGCTTGCTGACTCCGAACGTGGACTACGATTCCCGGCAGGCCTCGTGCGCTGCGCAGGCGCACCAGCGGCGAATAGAGGCGGAGCCCAGACGGCGGCGGGGGGGGCAACTCTCCCCCTTAGCCTGCCAGGGCGGGGCTCCCCCCTCTCCCCGCCCACCCCAGACCCCGCTGCCGGTACCGGGCGACGCCGCCGGAGGAGACCCCCGCCATGGACTCGGACTCCTGTTCTTCCCCGCTGCCCCCCGAAGTGAGTCGCCCCCCTGCGCCCCCCCAAAGGGGCATCCCCCTTCCCGGGGGGGGGGGGGGGAATCTGACACTGGGCACCCCTGGGCACGCCCACGGAGATGGGGGAGTGGGAGAAATCGGACCCCCCCCACTCCTGCTGCAAAAGGAACCCCCCCGGGGGGGCAGATTGGCTGGAATGCAACGGGGAGGGGGCGTTTGCCCTGGGAGGGGTCCCTCTTCCGCGTCCCCCCCCCCCGGGGGGGCTCCTTTTCCCTTTTCGCCCCCCCCCCCCCCCCCCCCCCCCTGCGTTTGCAGCCTGGAGAAAGGGGGAGGGGGCGGAGACCCCCCCCCCCAGGCAGGATGGGTGGGTGGGGGGGGGGGGCGAGGTTAGCAATTGCACCGTCCCTTTGCGAGGGTCCCGGCTTAGCTCGACGCCCCCCGCCCACGATGTCTTCCCCGGTGGGTGGGGAAGCAGCGGAAGCCTCGGGTGGGTGGGGGGCGCCTCCTGCTTGCAAAGCGACCCCTCCCTCTCCACCCGCGGGCGTTGCAAAGCGGGCACCCCCCTCCCTGTAGGTAAAGGATGCCCCCCCCCTCCGCTCCTCCCCCGCCTCCTCCTCCTTCCCCGGCACCGCCGCCGCGCACTCGCCCCCTCCCCAACTCACCGCCGCCCCCTCCTCCCCCCCCGCCTCTCTTCGCAGGATTTCCCCCCGGGCTCCAAGCGCTGCCGGACGGTGGAGGATTTCAACAACTTTTGCACCTTTGTCCTGGCCTACGCGGGCTACATCCCCTACCCGCACGAGGTGAGGGGGGGGGGCTTTTTTGGGGGGGGGGGGGGGGGGGAGGGGGGGGCGTCTTGCAAAGCCTGGCGGGGCAGGGTTTGCGGGCGGGGGAAGCAGCCCTGGGCGTTTTCATCGGCAAAGAGGTCTGGGTCCTTTGAACAGCTGAGCCGGAGAAGGGGAGGGATTGTGGGGGGAGGGGCTAGAGGAGAATTTTGGGGTTGGGGGGTTGAAACACCCCCCCCCCCCGCTTTTGGGGGTTTTGTTTGGGGCTGCCAGAGGACAAAGATCGGCTTCCCCCGGGAGGGGCTGCCATAAAGATTGGGAAGTCCGCTGGAGAAGGGGGGGGGGGGGGATGCCAGGGATGGCTGGAACTCTTTAAAGCGGCCACATCTTGTCTGCCATTGCATCTTTTTGTGCAAAGAGCGGCTGTCTCCCCCTCCCACCCTTGTAGCGTAGGAGAACAGATTCAGAAGTGCGGGTGTGAACTTGGGGGCACGGCTGGCACTCTTGAAAGTGGCTGCATCTTGCTAGCACAGCCTGAAGAGTGGCTGTTTGCCAGGAGCCTTGTAGGGATTGAGAAAAGATGCAGAAATTGGGGAGGTGGGGGGGGGGAGAGGGGGGGGATGGGGGCCACAGCTGGACTCATTAAAGCTGCCATGTCTTTTCTGCAATTGGACAGCCGCAGAGAGTGGCTATCCCCCCCCCCCCCATATATGATAAAAATGCAGCAGTGTGGGTGGGAACTTGGCACAGCTGGCACTCTTGAAAGCAGCTGCGTCTTTTGTGCCTTTGCATCTTTTTTGCACAGCAATGAATAGTGGCTGTTTGCCAGGACCCTAGTAGAGATTTGAGAAAAGATGCAGAAATAGGAAGGGAGGAGAGGATGTGGGCCATAGCTGGACTCATTAAAGCTGCTGCTACTTTTCTACAATTGGACAGCAACTGTTCTCCCACTCCCCTCAGGTCCCTTGTGGTATATGAGAAAATATGCAGAAATGTGGGAGGAGGGAGGAAACTTTGGCCACGGCTGGCACTCTTTAACATTGCTGCATCTTTTCTGCCATTGCATTTTGTCTACAAATGCACAGCCGCCAAGGGACCCTTGTCGGGCTTGAGAAAAGGTGCAGAAATAAGGCGGGCAGGAGGAAAGGAAATATGGGACACGGCTGGAACTATTTAAAGCAGCCACATCTCTTCTGTGATTCCATGCTTCCTTCAACTGCACAGCCACTAAGGAACTTTTTCTCAGGATCCTTTGTGGTGCTGGAGAAAAGATCCAGAAATGGGGTGGGAGTAGGGAATGTGGGCCAACACTGGCACTCATTAAAGTTGCCACATCTTTTCCGCAAATGCTGCCGAGAGGATCCCTTGTGGTGCTGGACAAAAGATCCAGAAACGGGGCAGGAGAAGGGGGAAGGAAATGGCCACGGTTGGAACTCTTTAAAGCCACTGCATCTTTCCTGCAATTGCACAGCCATCCTTGGTGGCTCCTCCCACATCTTTGGAAATGCTGGGGCAGCTTTAAAGAGCTGCAAAAAGGGGGTTCCTTCTGCCCCTCTGCCTTGAATTTCCACAGCACTTTCTAAGGAAAATAACACAACGTGGCTGTTTTGAAGAGTTTTCTCGTGCTTGCAGGACACGTCTGGCTGGAGCAGTGCCAGCTCCCCCAACAGCACCCGGGGGGCCATTGACAGCGATGGAGGGGACCCCCCTTTGGGACACCTCCCCCGGCCAGGAAAAGCCCGGAAGACCTTCAGCCAACTCAAACACGGCAAGGCTTATTCCTCGCTCTACCAGTGGTCGAAGCCCAAAGGGTTTTTGGTGGACCGGAAAAAAATGGAGAAGTTCCGGAAGAAACGGCGGCTGGTGAGGAAGGATGTGGCGCTGCCGGACGTCCATTACCCCGAAGAAGAAGAGGAAGGGCTGCGGGAGAGAGAAGGAGAAGAGCCGTACGCCGAGACCCCACTCAGCCCGTCTTCCGAAGGCGATGCCCAGTCTTCCACAGGCCGCTGCTCGGCCTGGGATTCGGACACCCCCTCGAATCCCCCCTACCCAGCCGCCGCGCCGGAGGAGCAGAGCCTCGTCCAGACGGTGGGCAAGAGGACCATCATACGGCAGGGGAAGCAGGTGGTCTTCCGAGACGAAGACGGCAGTGGAGACGATGAGGACATCATGGTGGACTCAGGTAAACCCTGGTGGGAACCTCTCGCCCTCGGAGCCCCATAGGAAGATGGCGGGAAACGGGAGAGAGAGGGGTCGGTGGAGTTACAGGCCCTTGGAGGATGGGGGTATCTCCTCGGCAGTGTTTCTCAACCTTGGTGGGGGTTTTTTAAGACGGGTGGATTTTCAATTTCCCAGAATTCCCCAGCCGGTCCCCACTGGACTTCGACTCCCAGAATTCTCCAGGCTGCTGGAGGAATTCTGGGAGTTGAAGTCCACGCATGTTGAAGGTGAAGGAAGGCTGCTGTACGGTAGTAATAGATGCAGGGGAATAAATAAATGAATATACCAAAGGCAGAGAAACAGACTGGGTGTGTTCAGTCCTGCTCCTCCTAGAACTGAAAAGCAATCCAAAATCCCCAAAGTTTCCCCACTTTTTCTGAAATTTTTCCCTCCATCTGAACCCCGTTTTTCTGGACCTCGGCAGACGACGACTCGTGGGACCTGGTCACCTGCTTCTGCATGAAACCCTTCGCCGGGCGCCCCATGATCGAATGCAAGGAGTGCCACACCTGGATCCACCTGTCCTGCGCCAAAATCCGCAAATCCAACGTTCCCGAGGTTTACGTCTGCCAGAAATGCCGGGATTCCAAATTCGACATCCGGCGGTCCAGCCGTTCCCGGATGGGCTCCCGGCGGCACTTCCTGGACTAAGCCGGCGGGAGAGCCGGCGGTGGCCAAACCTCGAAGTTTGGGAGTTTTGGGGAGTCGGTAGGACCGGGGGGGTGGAGATCTGCGAGCCCGACCGCGAGGCCCGCCTATCTTCCGAATCACCGGATTTCCCGAAGGGAGTCGGGACTGATTCCCGGCTGC